ATGAGATTCGAGTAGTGGAATGTAATGCTTTTGTAGGTGTATTTTGTGAATTGTGAGTGTGTGTATACTATATATATAACTTGGTAGCTTTGGACCTTTGGGTCTATTATGTTGAAAAGTCCAATAAGTTGTGCAAATGGTGACTTTTAAGACAGATCAAGCAAATTTGTGGTGTACAGTACAAGTGACCGATGGCTGATTTATTATTTGGATATGAGAAAAATATCCGGGTGAGTAATTTAGAATTTAGGAATTTCTTTAAAAAAACTTAAAATCAAAATAACTTTTTTAAAAATTAGATGAATTACCCATCACATTTTTTACCTCTACAAAAGTTATTGTATTTTGGAGGTTTCAGGTACCAATCTTATTGAACTAAACCCATTCTCCGATTTTTATTTATTACTATAACTCGTTTTATATACATTATCGATCCAAATCACTACAACCTAGTATATTACATAATCTTTGTTTCACAATGGCAAAACAAACATTTACGCCAGCTTTTAGTAGTGGAAATTATAAAACATGATTGTGAGTCTTATTGTGTATTTGTGATGGATGAGCTAGCTTTGTGTTTTATCCGATGTAATGCAAGTAAATTTAACTTTCAATCGGATAAGATAAGACCACAAAACTTGTTCAAATTTCTCTACCAAGGGACTTATTCCATGTGGCTTGTCCAACTAAGAAATAGCTATTGGACTAACAAAACCTAAATGTCCAATGAGTTAGAGGAACAACGAAATATTTGGGCAAGCCTGAATCAAACTCAAGATTCGACTAAGCAGACAATAATATTTTGATTATCAAAGGTATATGTAGATAGTAAATAAAGCCAATAATACAAATATTATTTAACGGTGAAACAAAGACGTACACCGATTTATTCATTAAAATCGCTAATTGAATCCAACATTGGATTCTATAAATAAACCTCGCGAAGAAGACACTAGTATTTGATGTAAGCAACAGAAGAAGTGTTTGCATCTTTGATGAGTGTACCAAGAAGAGGAGCAATCAAACATTTCTTATCTTTCTCCTTGTAGAAATACCCCAAACACTTGCAATCACGATCACACTTCGCCTTGCAATCGTTCACCGAAGTTGGGCCTTGTCCATCATTCACATAAGGCCCAGTAAAATGCTCAACACCAACAATCTTATAATAATTGACCGTTTTACCCTTTCCTCCGCTACAAAACGTCGTCGTTTTAGGCGCCGCGCATGTATCACTCCACCCGATTAACCCTTTCGGCGTCGGACAAGCGATGCACATTCCTCGGTCGCAGTAACCGTAATCGCCGCAAAACGACGGTAAGCCGCATTGCCGGACGAAGTAAGTGGAGAAGAAGGAGAAACTCTCTTCCCATGTTAGATACGTAGCTGGATCGTAATACGAGAAAGCTTTTAGAGATCCGTCAGATCCTAATCGGAGATACGAAATCGTTCCGTTGTAATTGATTTTGTTGAGATTCAGTGTTCCGTCTCCGCTTCCGATTGGTCGGACTTGTAGTAACCGACGGTTATTACCCGGTTGTTGTGGTGCTGGTTCGAGGAGGAGCTCGTAAGCTGACGGCTCCGTTAAATTATCGAACTCACGTCTAACGGCGAACGTAACGGTGCCACGGAAATCGTGATCTGGCCAACCTCCGTAAACTAACGGCGTACCGGTTTTGTTGACGTACATGGTTAAACCTTTTTTGTCTAAGACGAGACTGTACGGACCATCCGAACCGTCCATGTCGGATTTACGGCTAACGAGTTTGTTAGCTCCGTTAACTTTTAACGATTGTCCAGTGAGGAGTGTGTCGGTTGGGTGGTCGAAGCTCTGCCACACGAACTTGTCGTTTCTGTCGTGTAGTACGATGTTGCCGTTGGGCAAGATCTTGAATCCGGTTACGCCTTTGTTAGCTGTGTTGGTTTGCCATTTGACTCGTCCGTTTGACTCAGCGAGTTTAAGGTTACCGTCGCGACCGAACGAGAGCGTCGAGTTTTCTCCGACGGGATTGTTCCGGTTTGCGTCCCAGATCCAACGCATGAGTGACTCGTCACGTCTGAGACCGACTCGGAGAGCTAAGACGTAGGCACTAGGGGTAGTGTTGTAAAATAAAAGCTGGAATGGTCTTGAGAAGAAGCTTGCGTTTGGTGATGTGATGAATCGGTAACTCGCGTCGTACTCGGTTATGTATTCGCCGAATTCGCCTTGGTTTACGACTCTGAATTGCTTCTCTGGTGGGACTTGGGATGTAACCAGTGAAATAGTGGTAATGGTGAGTGTTAGGAATAGTAAGATATTGAATCGAGACATGGTTGTGTTTTTGAGTTGATGATTATGGTAGAAGATGGATTCGTGGGTTTTATATA